TTATTCCTTGAAAGAAGACTGAGAAATTTATGTTAGATAAAATTTGAAAATCCTGAAACATATAGTCTACATTACTGTCATGAAAATATATCTGTCTCATCGCCAGCGTTTCCAAAGACTTAATTGTTCTTTTATTTTTGACTGGAGTAATATGAACGAATCAGATGGCCCATTTCATCTCTCTAAGCCTAAGGCAATATACATTTCTATTATTGAGGTCTTCAAGTCAGATGGATTCTTAATGCTCGTCTAACTTACAATCTTTGGGTAATGTATCGTGTGAACTTCCTCATGTTCTAGATAAACTTAATAATCCATCTACCCGAGCGCCCCTATACTTGTCCTTGTTTCGTGTAGACAGCAGTAAGCTAGAAAAATTAATAAGAGCGTCCGCGTTGCGATCGCTTAAAAGTGAAGTGACTCTACTTGCCTCGGGTATGGGCGCCCGTACAAAAATTATTAATTCAATAGAAGAGTAGTACATGAATGACTTGACGGTAACTAAACATTTTTTCACTGATTAACATATAATATCACTGATAACTGATATAAACTGATAATCAATTTATCGACGCGAGAGATACACGATGTGCTACAGTTAATCTCATTGTGCTACAGCGTCGGCAGATGGTCAACAAGCGTCGCTCAAGGACACAATTAGAGCCCGAGATATGCAGCTCCTCTTGTACGTACATTGTTCCCAGAACTTGACCTTCGCAGCACATAGAGAAGCCATATAATTATGAGTGACCAACGCTTATGTGTGTATACTGCATCCTAATCTCAAAATCTTCGTCGTGGTTCTTGAATATATATAATATGTGGTGATTATCCCAGCTCGCGATGTTGAACATTCCGTCCAATATGTTCCCTGAATTCTAAAACATAAATAAATAATCTATGTTTTTTTAAAGGCAAATTATAATGTTAAAAGAGTGCCGTAAATATATACTATATACAATATCTAGAAGTGCATGAAAAGTGCATTATTTTATTGCGTACCCAAACTCGCTTTGATAAGATAGCATAAAACGATATCTTTTATCCTTTCTTATGATAACGAAGCATTGCTGAGTAAGGTGTTTCTGGTGTATGCTAGATGGATTACATGATTATTCAATAACGATTAATCTATTGCCACGCTAAAACAACATATTTTTCACACTGTTACAACTGTCATTTATTCATATTCAACATAATCTCGCTGTTGCAACTATTATTTATTCAGGATGGAACAATTAATTCAAATTCATAGTGCCGTTTCTGTTGCGCAGTTTCGCAACCTGCATATGAAGTTGTTTCTAAGTTCGGAAAATTCTTCTACGTTAGTCGTAGCTTAGGAATCGAAGGTATTGAAAGACTATGTCTCCCACATACAGCATCTACGGCAGCTTCCCGCTAAAAACCTGTTCATACTTCCTGCAGTAATAAACAGCCTCAGCTTATAGGCTAAAGCTAATACCAACCCGATGCAATGCCATTTCTTGCTAGAAATCAGTTGAAAATACCATCAATACGAGCAGCACCATGTTAGGGAGAACGTGAATTTCAAGAATTTTAATCCATTAATATAATCATTATATAGTTTACAAACTTTTACTATCATGACACGTAATCATTTTGTATGGTCAACCCGTAACGAATGAAAAATGAATGCTCTAGAGTCTGGAGTCATCATAGCAAAATTTAAAAAAAAGCGTTGTTAGAGCGAAAGTTTAGTGATTCAACAATTTACCAATAATATTTACATGCCCCAGACATAAAGGCACCATTGGAATTTGCTCTGCTATTATTTTATATTGCGAAGCAGATTCTTATACTCTCAAACCAAGGTACCCGTACCCAAAGCTGCTGTTAAGATAGACAAATCATTGACATTTTTCTATGAACTTTCGAAGTCTAATGTGCATTACAGTAACAACGCTTTTGCAAATCACCTTACTTAAGTATTTTTTTCGTAAGTACTTTTGAGCGCGAACGAGAACAGTTTCGTGGCATTGCCTGATGTCGAAGCTTGTGATGCCGAAGCATAGCCGGCAGTCAAGGTTTCCACTTATCAAGCGAGAGGCCCTCACATCGCAGCTGCTCCCCTGAGGATAAGGTTAGTGGTGTCTGGCATCAGCTCCAGTCTGCTAAATTTGGGAATAATTCTGGGGCGGCTTCTCTTACAAGTTTTATAGATATCCGATAATATTAATATTTCTTTTACGAAAATAAGTTTATTGATGTGCATGGCCACCTGCGGTTAAAAAATATTAATATATGCAAGCTTAACATTTTTTTTGGAACGAAATGCACTTGTGACTATTAGATTGTTTTGGGAAAGAACTATATGCTTGTGTAGGTCACGACAAAGGGGGATTTCCGTTGTTCAGCCTAAGTCGTCGATGAGCTTGGGAAATCTTATGATTTTCTTCAACAGTTTTATGTATCATGTAACATGATGAGACGAAACGAAAAACTAATCTGCCGATATTATTGATTATTCTTCTGCGTGCTAACTCATGCCGAATGCTTTACAGTAATAACTGGATCCTGAAAACTCGTTATCAATTGTCATCCGGTGACAAGCCTACCTAAGATATGCTGCGGGTACCCAGGAAATGTATTGTTTTGTAACACTGGTCAGCGTGCAGTCCATCCTGTTCCTAAGCTTTAGTGTGTGTGAGTGGCTTGCAGAGCATCGGAAGAGGTTCGCAATTAGCGGTATTTTTCTAAGAGTGATTTTATGATGGTTGTTAAGTAGTGATCATGTGATGTTGGTCACAAAACACTATTATATAAAATGGTTGCCATTGGATTATTATATGATGGTTGTCTCAGCGTGAATTGAATATATTCTACGCTATCAAAATTCGTTGTGCAGCCATTCCGTACCAACGCTATTTAGCGAACGAAGTAACGATAGACTAAATGCCGAGGGTTGTTAATATTCGCGAGTTTCAACACCATAACATCGAAAATTCGAGTCTGCAAACAAACGTATGTTTCCATTGGATATTAGTCTGTCATCCATTCGCGCACTTGTAGAAAAGGCGAAATTATATATTTTCAGCCGTTTACGGTATAGAATGAAACGAAAGACCAATGGGCAACATTTTATTTGAGTAATCATACGCAGTGTCAGATATTACCATTTTAAATCAGGTATCAGAGTGCCGGTAAGTGATTAATGTATCGGAAAATTCCCATCAAGTTTCGTAAACGTTTATTGATAACGGTAGAAAACACATTCATTCAAGGTTTTGTTTAAGAAGTTTTTTCACATGAATTTATTGTCATCAAACCCACCAGCCCGATGTTCGAGATCTAGTATTTTCCATTACCTTTGTTTGGTTTAACCAGACATGTTTACAGATGAGCTTGTATGAAGGATGGTATCGTCCACTCGGAGAGTTGGAGAACCATTCAGCCTACTTGTACGACAACCACAACTACGGCATTAGCTATGTTGTGCGCATTGCGACGTCTCGACCAACTACAGAAGAAGATGTTAGAAGAGTGTTCACGCTCCTCTTCCGGTGGGTAACTGCTTACATGCACACCACAAATCAATCCTCATCAAATTTTGAGATATGGTCAAATTTATAGATTCTAAAACTTTAAGATTAAGTTCTTCATATCATCATATGGTCAACAATTGAACCAGTTTCCCATTGATCCCGTCCAAGATCCCGTTCATGGTTGATCGTATATCCTAGTTTGTCAAAAAGAATTTTATAATTTCAACCAACCAATAATAAAGCAAGAGGTTTTGCTTCAATCGTACTCTTCATGCCTGCAGGAAGACAATCAACTTACGCATGGTGCCAGCCGAGCGCGATGGGCAGCTGTGGCTGAGAGAGATGAAGCACCATCAAAATATCGACTTACAGGTTGTTATAAAGCTTTATAAACGGAGTTTATTCATACGTTTACTTTTAGAAACATGCTATTACACTATTTAAGCAATTCCAAACAATGTCAAAAAGATACATAATATACAATATTTTCATTAAAGACAATGTGTAATGACGAAAATGGATAAAAAAGGACGAAAATGTCCTGTGCCCATTGTAAATATTCTCATACTCGTATGGTACTAAACCATGAAGAAGGTGATATAAGTTTTCTCAATTATCTTGTTATGCATATAAATTAATGTTGACATATTCGGGGTGTGGTACGTTACGTTCCGTCTGAACGAATGAGGCTCAGCTCTGAAAAAAATAAGAAAATATATTTTAGAGATTTTAATTAGTGAATGGAACAATATCTAGTTAGCTTTGCGTTCTCATGAACAGCCAATGAATATCAAATGAATCAAATTTTTTCTCCGCTTGTCTATTGTTATACTGTATGTGATACTATAATGTTCTCAATTTGGTACTCAGGTGAGTATTATTCTACATTTGTTTGGAGAATTGGCCAACTTATCAGATCTTTTGGTGTTGTTTGAAGTAATGATCTTCTTAAAATATCTTTTGGTGACCGAAAACATGGTGGCAGTTTTCAGCAATATTGGATTCGCGCCTATGTAGCAAGCTCAAACTAGTGACTAGTGTAAATATATGCTACTATTTCTATCCACAGACGTTGCTGGATGTGGACGTGAAAGCTGTGTTCGAAGAAATGGCCAGATACAAGTACAACATGAATAATGGACCAGTGTGGGCCGTGCGTTTCCTTCCTCTTTCACCCAAACATGATGACTACATCAGGCTAACGACCATGGAAAGCGCGGATAACAAACTCATTACACTGCCTCACGTCAGCCACATTGTGATGAGCTTCCATCACAGCATAACCGACGGTTACACTTGCGTGCGAATCATCCGACACGTCTTGATGCTTTTGAACGATGTCATCGAGGGGAACCCCATTGATGAGTCCCAGCAGTATGCACAAATGCTCGATATAACGAAGCAAAATGTAATTTTTGAAGATATATATCGAACATTCAGTGAAAATCCAGACCTTCTAAAAGCCCGTTCAAAGAGGTTAGACACTTTTTTTCCGGATGCTCTTTTAAGCCAAGTCTATGAACATCCGTCCAAAACACTTCCTAAAATTGTAAGTCTACCGCGCATCTTAGACAGTATTACCACCACCAAGTTTGTGGAACGTTGCAAGGAAGAAGGCGTCACGGTTCACTCAGGCTTCTGTTCAGTGTTGGAGGCGAGTGTAGTTAAAGCTCTGCAAGATGCCTTTTTGATGCAGGATCGTTACCCGATTGCTTCCAGACACTGCGTTGATCAACGACGCTACTTCAATGACGCTACAAATGCATATGGTACAGCTTTGGGAGTCTTGACGCTCACGACCGATGTTCCCAGAGACATATGTTCCAATTTTTGGAGTCATGTAAAAAAATTCCACCAGGATTTTGTGGATGAGTTGAACCGCATGAATAGCATGGAACTAAATATACTCATGGAATTAACAGGAAAGAATCCCCGATTCTTTATTGACTCGAAGGGAATTGATTCTCCTCCTCCAAAAATTGCGACTTATTCTACCAGTAACATGAGGGACGTTACAGATATCCTTTCTAACTTCGTCGAAAACGTCGATCTTCTGTTTTATGACCAGCTGACCGCGGTGCAAGCGTTACCCATCTTGTGGAGTAGCAACTTCCAGTCGCTCAACGGTCAACTCATGCACTCACTGCAGTACAACACGCAGCTAATGGAGGAAGCCTTGGCCGTCAAAATTGTGGATTCCGCGTTCGAGATTTTGAAAGAGGTTGTTGAACAGTCGTAAATTGGTTGAACGAATGAAGGGATTGTGGTTTACTTAATTTTAATAAGATAATTCCACAAACTGATAAACTTTTTCCAGTGCATCTCCACCCGACGTCCCTGTTAGCTAAATTAGTCGCGTTCATAATTTTCACGAGTTCAATGCTTGTATCTTATTTTTAATCCTAATTGTAACTGATTTTTTATAAGCCGCACTTAATTTACTCATGTAAGCAAGATTTATCTCTCACCTAAATAAAGGTCCTCGTGCAAATTTTGTTAAGAATTCGACACTCTGAGAAGACCATGTATCAGATATTGTCGCAGTAATTCCTGTATAAGTTGCGTCATAATCTGTCTCTCCAAAAAAGAATATATTATTATGGTGTCCTTTTCTCAATTCATGGATGTCATTTTTTCACGCATAGAAGTCTTACGATTGGTTGTTCGTGGTGATGAAATGTTTTATGTAACGAGAAACTTATCGACTCTAAATATATTCTTTGAGTTCGTTCAGATGCCAACTCCTTTACTTCCTGACTTGAAGCTTGAAAAAAAGCCTTTCTTTCACTCAATCGACAATTCTACGGACCCGCCTGAGAAACTCGCCTGCGGACTCGCGCAACTGGGACACTCATAATTCCTTCAATACTGTATGAATGGATCTGTATGAATTTTGGAATGTGAGTATTAATTATCGATACGCTGCCGCAGGAATTATTACAGACTTTAACATGAATTATTTTTTAATTAAAACCAATAAACGTATTTTTTAAGCAACTGGGGCACTCATAAATTCCCATATGAATTCAATAATTCAGAATTCCTTCAATCCAATTCAAATAATAATTCCTGTGACAGCGTATCGATAATTAATACTCACATTCCAAAATTCATACAGATCCCTTAAGTATTGAAGGAATTATGAGTGTCCTAGTTGCGCGAGACTAGTCCGCAGGCGAGTTCGCAGGCGGGTCCGTAGAATTGTCAATTGAGTCTTTCTTGACGCTAATGTCACACCAGGATAAATGTGCCATGAGAACCTGAAAAAAAAAAAACAGAAATTATTATCAAACTAAAAAAAATAAGTTTTAGAAGTAATAAAGAAGTAATCTTTTAATATATAGGAAAAAATCATTTCGAAAATTTACACTCTCCATTTATCAAGTTGCGACTGTAATTTTTAGAAAGAGAGTAAAAAAATTACCTAGTTCTAATGGTTATTTTAAAATCTTCAACGATCCCTAAAGGTTCAAACAAGACTCCTCCGGACGAGTGATGAGCAGCATTGAATTGGAAGCTGTAGTGGTTCTAACTTCTGATTAGTTGAAAATGGTGTTACAGTAAAATTGAGGCACGTTGCTTTGATTGTCTTCATATATTAGAAATTTTGTTTGGTTTGGTTTGTTTATTGGAAATTATGCTCCGTTTTAATGTAACGGAGACAAGGAAGAGTAAGTTTGAAGCGAGTCGCCTTCAGAGGAGAAGGTTTTGTTCAAAATGGAGAATTAGCTTGGAAGTGACTAAAAGTTGTTCTTTGATGCATTATTTGCTACTGTAAACTTGTAAACTGCAACCTATATCATTTCCTATTAATCCATTTGAATTAATGCATGCCAAGGGCCCTAATTTATTACCTTAATGCAGTGTGTCCCAAAGTTGGCGATATCGCCCCCCTAGGAGCGATGGAAAGATTTTTGGGGCGGTAAGGAAGAAGAGGGCAGTAGGGGGGCGATAGGGGGGGCTGTAGTCCGAAGTCAATGTCAGAAGTTCGAACGTTTGTTTGACGATATGTGCACAACAAGTGCAGCACATGACTCCCAGCGATGGTTTTTTCACCCAGATCTGTTTTTTTTAACTCTCCTGGGTTTACGTCTCGGACAAATCAACGGCCGGACTCGCGGCCGGTCTCACGGCCAATTTCCAAATTCAATGATCAAGGAATATCTCTAAAACTAATGAACTCAACTCGATGAAACTTGGTACACGTATTCAGTAGGACCTAACGATAATATTTTACTCGTGAAAATTGTTTGAATTTGGCCATCGTTTGTTTTTGCCATAGTTATATGGCAATACGGGCTGAAATTCATAGTGATCAAGTAATTTCTCCCAAACTACTGAACAGATTCGAACGAAATTTTGAATTTACATTCCTAACTACCGAACGGTAATGTTTAGCTCGTGAAAACTTTAGCTCGATTATGCCTTCGTTGGCGAGTTTTTTTTTTTTTTCATTTCACCTTCATTCGTGATTTAAACAGCAATATGTGCTTAAATTCGCAGTAATCAGGAACTTTTTTGCAAACTACTGAACAGATTTGAACGAAATTTAGTTTTTAAATACCTAACCTCAGGAACGGTGATGTTTACAATTTCTTCGTTTTGCCTTCGTTTGCGAGTTATACGGCTATTCGTGCAAGGCTCTTGGTTAAACCGGCCGGTAGAAAAGCCGGCCTTGTTCCTCCTATATCTGTATAACTCGCGAACGAAAGCAAAATAGAAAAATTGTCACAAGCTAAACATCACCGTTGAGAGGTTAGGTATTTATATACACAGTTTCGTTAAAATCTGTTTTGTACCTTAGAAGAAATTTCTTGATCGCCCGAATTTAAGTGACAAATTACCCTGCGATACGGGGCGAATATAAGGAAATGTGAAATCTAGAATGACGGTGAAATAAATAAAAAAAAACTCTCAAACTAAGGTAAATCGAAAAAAATTAAAAGCTAAAAAATCACCGTTTGTTAGTTAGGAATGTATATTCAAAATTTCGTTCAAATCTGTTCAATAGTTTGGAAGAAATTCTTTGATCACTGCGAATTTCGGCCTGTTTCGCAATATACGCGTAACTCGCGAATGAAGGTGAAATTAAAAAAAAAGTTTACAGGCTAAACATCACCGTTAGGTTCTGATGAATACGTGTTCCAAGTTTCATAGAGCTGCGTTCATTAGTTTGGGAGATATTACTTGATGATACGTGAATTTGGAGATTGGTCGTGAGACCGGCCGGCCACGAGTCTGCGCCGTAAATTCGTCCGCGACGTCCTAGGCTTCTAGTGCTGAAACAGCTGAAAAACATATTGGTTCACTAAATGGGGTTCTATATGTGTAATACACATTTGTGTTTAACCTTTACCTTTTAAAATGGCAGCGTCCTAAATTTCAGGAAAGAGGCGTATGTCTGTGGGGGGGGGGGCGTAGAAATTCACTAGAGAGCCATAGGGGGCCAGCCTGAAAAAGTTTGGGAACCACTGCTTTAATGCATGCGGTTTGCGGTGTCACCTCTGTGGTCTGGCACAACATACTAGGTGTCGTTGACACATTCATTATTCTTGGTATCATTGCCGGCCTCCGTGCCAATCTTTGCGTTTAAACCTTTAAAACTTATCTTGCTACCCTTAAGTTGGGCTGGCCAGTATTTCATTTCTTTGTACTTGCACCTATTAACAATTTCACCCTGAAAAGCTTTCATGCCACTTCTATAACCAGCCAGCGGCATTAACTTAGAAGGTTAGTAATTGTTAAATTAACTAGAATATAGAATTACCTAATTAAATGAAAATTAACTCGGATCTTATTCAGAAGTTTAACATGCCCGATTCAATTTCGTACTGGTAAGCAAAGTCCAGTCCTTTTTCACAGTAAACTGCAGAATACCTGACACCGACTCTCATACTGCGTAATCGTTGCGCGTCAGCGGTTGCCAGCTAACAGCTATTCGTCATCAGTGCTCAATTGATTTGTTTGAGGAGGTTAGCCTGGGAATGCGACCACTCTCTGGTCTTACGCCGCTAAAATTGAAATAGTGAACACAATTGGTTGAATCTTAGAACTTTGTGCATTCAGATTCATCGCATTGACGCCCAGTATTCTTTTATTCCAGTTTGAAGCCTGACTGTATTGTCGCAATTTAACACGGCGCTGAATTCTGGGGAAAATCCTGCATCTTTCAAATAAAATTTTGGTTCAAACTTTGGTTTTTGTAACTATTTCCTTACACTTACCTATTTCTCACATTCTCATAATAACCATTGAATAATAAGGAATTTTGTTGAGCGGAAGTCACATAGTGGGTGCGCTTATGAGTCAATAAAATTTTCTACTCAGAGTTTAGAACAGTGGTTCCCAAAAATTTTCAGGCTGGCGCCCCCTTTGGCTCCCTAGTTAATTTCTAGCGCCCCCCACAGACACAAAAAAAAATATGACTCTTTATTGAAATTTAGTACGCTGTAATTTTAAAAGATAAAGTTTAAACATAAATGTGTATTTCACATATAGAACCCCATTTAGTGACCCAAAGTTTTTCAGCTGTTTTAACTGTTTCAGCACTAGAAACCTAAGACATCGCGGGCGAATTTTCGGCTTGACTCGTGGCCGGTCTGGGAGCGCAGCCGTGCACCACCAATTTTGTGCACCAATAAGCCCTGAATCGAACGCCATGGATCTCTCCGGATCTACACCAATTAGCCGTGCACCACTAGGCTTTGTCCTCTTCCGGCCTTGACCACCACCTGCCGTGCACCACCAGGCCGCGGATCGAATCTGACTTCCGGGCATCGTTAAATTACGTAATTTTACGTTCACCGCATCTGAGGTTATGTTTCAGATAGCATGGTTATGTTCCAAAATTTATCGTCCTTCGACGTGTAGCCGTTCGACCGAGGGCTGGTTCGACCCACGGCCTAGATACGGACGGCTTGAAGTGTTGAAGGCTACGTTCCGGAAGGCAGGAATCATGATGGTCCATGGGTCCAGGAATCATGATGGTCCCAGAGAATAATGGTTGTCCACCACTGAACGTTGCATCGAATCATCACTTCATACCCTGACTTTAGCTCGAACTGTAACTTGCTGACAACAGACTGTGACCAACCAGCTCAGGGCGCCAGTGGAACTGCATGCATCCTGCCGTGCACCACCAGACCGTCACTTTTAGCTCAACATCCGGGGTTAGGTTTCAGAAAGCATAGTTCTGTTCCAAACTCTATCGTCCGCCGGCGAGTGACTTCCGCAGCTTCGCTAAATTACGTAAATTTTAGCTCACAGCATTTGAGGTTAGGTTCCAGATAGCATAGTTCTGTTCCAAAATTTATCGTCGTACGACGCGTGGCCGTTCGACCGTAGGCTGATTCGACACACGGGACAGATACGGACGGCTCCGGCGCGTTCCGTCCGGGTGGTGTAAAATTTTTTCGCGTGTTGGCAGACGACGCTGGGCCATACGACGCCAGGCTCATTTTCCTGTGGGCTGATTGATCTAATTCAATGGATGTGATCTGTCTGGTGGCGTGCGGCTGATAATGTTACAGTCATGAAGTGTTGTAGGCTACGTTCTTCAGGGAAGGGATCATGATAGTCCATTCGCCTTAAGGCTTGTAGTCAAAATGCAGCGAAGTCTGAGAGCGAGGTTTTCGCGACCATCGTGTAAAATCCTTGATCTGCCCAAAGCTCGGCCAATCGCTACCCTCGAGCTTGTACTTTTTGTAATATGATATCCTAGCCAGACCCTTCTTCGCGGCAACTGGTCGCTTTCAGTTGGCCGAGGAATGACCAACGGTCGGCTATAACTAATTGGACTAGGCCGACCACTGGCCACGTATTATTCTTCGCTCCTCATTGACTCCGCCTTTACCATGCCACCCGTCGTGACCTGACAGTTGAGTAATTTACGACGTCTCTTTCCCCTCAAACATTGCACAACGTCTCCATTCGAGCAGCTAGTATGCGGGATTTTCCCTCCGCGTATCAGCAGACTCGATCATAACTATTTTTAGGTAGAAAATATCTACAACAAGGAGGCTGATCAAGGAATGCAGTGTATACCATTCAATGGAGAATAAAAATTACAACCCGTTTACATCTCGAAAAAAGTAAAAAAGTCGCAGACGATGATGATGAGTCGCATGATGAACAATAATATTCAAAGTTTCTTGAAATTTCCTCTCATTAAAACTCTTTTAATACAAAGTTTACTAATTTTTTGTTACTGGTCGACGCTCATAAATAAATAGCTGGGTAAGTATGGAAAAATCCTTATCGCCATCTCATTTGCGAGTGGAGTAAAGTCTATCCTAATTAGTGAAGAAACGCTTAGGGAAGAGCCGAGCCTGTTCGAAGCCTCTCGGTGTTCAATCAGGGCCTTAATGGGTCCGTATCCGAATGGGCTTCAGTGCGCAGCGGCGTGCCACAAGGAAGCGTTCTCGGGCTTATTTTATTCGTTGCGTTTATAAACGATCTGCCAGAAGCTGAGTCTAGCGTTTGCTCGATGTATGCTGACGACACAAAAGATTTATAATACAGTGAAGAATACGTCGCAAAAAGTACAGTTGCAAGGTGATCTTGACAGGCTGGTTGACTGGGCTGAAAGGTAGCAGCTGCGTTTTAACGCTGACAAATGTAAAGTTATTCACCTTGGCAAGAAAAATGAACAGCAAGATTACAGTATGAGAAGACACGGTTGCAACTACAGAGTGATGATTTCGAAGTCGACAATGGAGAAAGATTTAGGAGTTAATATCGACAATGAGTTGACATTTTCTAAGCATATTGAAGGTCAAGTTAATAAGCCAATAAACAACTTGGACAAATCAGACGCTCTTTCGAGTTCCTATAGATTCAGAAGCCATGAAGCAGTTGTTTGGTGCTGTCGTGCGCCCGAACCTAGAGTTTGGAAACGTCGTGTGGTCACCGAAATTTGAAAAGGACAATAATTTAATAGAGAGTGTTCAAAGACGCGCAACAAGGATAGTTCCGGGCTTGAAATGCAAGTCCTTTGAAGAAAGATTAAAGATTATGAAGCTTCTAAGCCTCAGTTATCGATGTCTGCGTGGGGACCTCATTGAAGCATACAAGTATACTCATGGCTCATATGTACAATGTCCCAGAAGGATTACTAGAATTTGGAACAAGAACCAACACCAGGGGCCACGGCTATAAACTAAAAAACCGCGTTGTAAGTTGTAACACATCCATGCGACAACATTTCTTCTCTTTTCGATTCACCGACATGAGGAACAGCCTCCCTGATAGCATCGTTGACGCTCCGGGTATGAACGCCTTCAAAAACAGACTAAACGAAGCTATGCAGGAGCATAGGTTTAGTCTTAAAATGCCTAGCAAATTACGGACCAGGCAATAAGTCCANTCGTTAGTTATGGAAAGATCGGGTTCCAAAGGCCGGATCCCTTGTGAATCAAGTCACGAAAAATTAAAAAATCGGCAAGAGGCCATGGGCCTATTTCTTCAATGCCGACACTTCTATTCTATTCTAAGAGTGACGATAAGTTGACCGTTTGGACGGGGCTTAATTAAGACTGATGGCTTAAGGCCTTAAGGGGGATCTACCGTAAAAGTCGTAAATTTGGCGTTTTTTGGTATTATAGTCATCTTAAAGCTGACATTCTGACCTATCCTACGGTACCAAAAGCCTCTCTGTACGTTGATTTATGCCTTCACGACAGATCCCGCAAGGGTGGGGGGTGGTGGATTTCTTTGACATTTAAGATACGGGGAAATTAGCTGCCGAGCACTTTAAATAGAGTGTCTCCTTGAGCTGCACTTCAGTGACTCGCCTGGCGTCGTATGAGGTGGTGTGCATGCAGTCGTTCCCACCATCCTTGACTGGAATCAAGCTCCAGTAACGTTTAGTTTTGTATCCTTGCTACATTGAGTGCCTATTCCAATGCGCGCGGGACTTTATTGGGCTCTACTGAAAAATTAACTTATTGTCACTGCAAACCTATCTCCTGCTCCTAGAGTTTTGCAGCCACATCAATGAGAGATATAGCGTTCGAATCGTAAAGACCATACCTATCGAGTAACGAAACCCTTTTTTAGATTTGTGCATAGTTTGCATTGAAAATGGGGAGGGGGGGGGAAATCAGAAGAAAATGAGAAGAAAACGGGAAAATGCGTGTACAAAAAAAAAACTAAGGCAAAAATAAAAAAACGGGCTGTGTTACTCGATTGATATGGTATTTACGAATCGAATGGTATTCTTTCGATGCTGTAACTTGAAAACTGTAGGAGATAGATTTTTAAAGTACACTCTTTTTTACCGTTTTCTATGAACATCACGTTTTCTATGAATTTTTCCGAAAAAAAAATCATACGAAGAAAATGTGCTTGTTTTTCGGATTTTTATATATGTGTGAAGTTTCAGAAAGATCAGTTAGTAAATGTGGAAGTTTTGTGGAGGGTAGACCCCCTGAACCGGTGAAATTTTTCGTACAGTCTGAACCTCAGTACGTCCCCCAACCCTCCAACGACGACTAGGGGCGTTGGGCGCACACTATACGGACTTCTAGTCAAGCACACTATACTGAGCATGGAGATCGCAATTTGAAAACTGCATGTTTCATATCATTTTAGCGGAACTGCTATATAAATAGATAATTGTACAAACATCCACATAAAATGTGAATTTATCCTAATTGCAGATGATATTCGAATTTATCGTAGCAGAGTTGTCGAATCCTGGTTTTATATAGCATAAGCGATGGTTGATGTCACGGTTTGATATGCTACTAGTTAGGTGAATTACCTTTGCTATAATCTTCGTGCTCAGCAATAGTTTATGTAATTTGAGTTTGATGTACTCTAAAATAAGATTTCTACTTCTTCATATTCAAGGCCAATAAAAGATTCGATATTGTCGTTGAATACATATAATTACCGTCATGGAACAGTAAAAGTGAGCCTGAAGGAACTTCAAGGTCGACATTCTCCTTAAAATCTTCAAGCTCTGAAGTTTTTGGCTAACATTAACAAGGTATTTAATATAAATTGACTAACCTTAAAATCTTAACAGATGGAAGCGTAAAATCTAACAATTGCCGTTATCATTCATATTTCAAATTTTTGGAAAAGTTTAGGGAAGTATTGTATCTATGCACCAATCATGAGTGCAGTGCCGAGATAAAGGTTGAATAGGAATTATATATACTGTAATGCAGTCATTAATTTCCTAGTCAGAAACAGTAAGTGCACGTCAAGTCGCAGGTTTCTTGAGTATCTATCCTCAGTTACTCAGTTCACCGTTTTAACCGCCGATTGAAGTGGGCGAAGACTTGATAGATTTTATTTTAAATTAAGGTTACAGATAATGATTGGTCTTAGGGCTGTTCAACAACCTGCCTCAAAATTTCAAAAATCGAATCAGCGATTTTGAGAGCGAGTGCTTCGTCCATAAGTTGCGTATTATAATGCAAGTTATGCAGGAGTTGTCCGTTGAAAGTGTGAATGGAGCTTACCCATTCATACCCAATTTCTTGCACCGCAGACATCCAGTCATAGTAAATTATATCGACATTCTGCCCAAAGTTACTTAAAATCTTTGTAACGTCTCTCACATTTGTGGTTATGTACGAGGCAACTCTCGGAAGAGGAGAGTCGATGCCCTGAGAGTCAATGAACACAAATGGGTTTTTACCCGTCAGCTTATAAATCACTTCGAGTTCCATGCTGTTCATTCGTCTTTGTTGGTCTTTAAATTTGGCGTGGTACTGCTTAGCATGGCTCCAGAAGTTTGCAACAATATCCTTGGATACATCAGTGGTGACATCCATTGTACCAAAGCCGTTACCATACGCGTTTTCAACATCGTTGAAGTAGCGTCTCTGGTCGATACAGTGAAGTCCGCCAATGGTGAATTCATCTTGTAGACAGTTTGCATCCAGCAGAGCTTGGACGATGCTTGCCTCGATCACCGAGCTGAATCCTGTGTGAACTGTAATGCCTTCTTTCTTGCAACGGCTAATAAAGTTTGCCGTACTTCTACTGTCAAGAATGCGAGGAATGCATACCATTTTTGGTGGTCTTTTCGAAGGCTGCGGATACGCTTTGCTAAGCAAGGCCTCGGGAAATGACCTCATCAGAGACTCTACCCGGGCTTTCAACAGATCGGGGTCAGCCTTGAATGCATTCTCCAATTCTTGCGAAATTAGTTCTTGCTTCTTTATGTCGAGTATTTGAGCATACTGCTGGCTATCGTCAATAGGGTTCCCGGCAATAACATCGTTCAAAAGCATCATTATGTGTCGGATGATTCTCACGTTAGTGCAGCCGTCGGTTATGCTGTGGTGGAAGCTCATCACAATGTGGCTGACGTGAGGCAGTGTTTTGAGTTTTGTATCCGCGTTTTCCATGGTCGTTTGCTTGATATAATCGACTTGTTTGGGTGAGAGCGGGAGGAAACGCACGGCCCACGCCGGGCCAACGTTCATGTTGTACCTGTAGGTCGCCATGTTGTGGTACACAGCATTGACATCTGCATCACCGAACGTCTGGAAAAAGACCGTCCAGGAAAGTATCGTTCGTATGAAAATTGAGTGAAACGATTGCGGCGCCAAATACCCATAAAGTGTTCACTATTCGTTAGTTTTGTTCTGAGAACAGATCATATATTTCCATTTTAAATAGCTTCAGTAAATAATATGCTGTAGTGAACCAACCTGAAAATCAAGTTCCTCGTGTTGCAGCTCCCTCATCCAGAGCTGACCGTCTCTCATTTGGGGCAACATCCTCAAGTTGATGGTCTTCCTGTGCATGAAGCCAATAGACAATAGTAAGGTTTCGTTTTGACAGAGGCATTAGGTAGGGCTAAAAACTATTTGTATCGCTAGTCGTTACAAATCACTGCAACTAGTTTTCGCTAAAAAGCATTCTAAAAACGGCATAAATTACTTTCTTTTAAGAGTTCGGATATCGTGATTTTATCTCATTATGTGAGCTTAATGGCCTTTTTCATGCATATTTTTTCACGTGACTAGAAGATGTGCTTTCATCAGGAAAGAGTGACGGTGAATAAATACATAATTATAACTAGAATTACATTATTCAAATTATTTACTAAGTTTGCACTTATTTTACTTAATCTGTGTCATAAGAAATAAACTGATAAATTTATTTGGGTACTGTAGTTTTATATCATCTGTAAATCTTTGTTCGTAAGTAAATACGGATAAATACAATGAAATAAATACAGTAAATTTTTATCAATCTCATCCTTTAATCATTGTAACCTTGTTGGAAAAGCATTTTCCATATGCTTCATTAAGCTTAAATATCTGGACTTGATTTGTGTTGTAAAATTAGAAAACGGAAACTGTTGGTTGTTGGGAGGATAGCCGGAGAGTCAGTTGGAAGAGACACGCGGCGCCGAAGACAGAGATTACTTATATAGCATCCTGCTGCGCTAGCCATTTACGTGTCCAGTGTCCGAACTATTTAATTAATAAGCTATATAGTCCTAAGTGAACTTCCGTTCTACCGATTTGTGATTAATTGTATTAACCTACTTCGTGAATAACGTTATTGAACCTAAACGTCTACAAGTGCCCTTTTTAAATTCGTGGTTATAGAATCAACAATTAAACAACGCAATGTACTAAAGAACGATCAATATAGGCCTATATGCGGTGCCTCAGCTGATGCGGCAGCTGGCAGGCCCGACAACCTGAGAGTTAAATGGTTCACCTCGTCAAAGGACATACCTCAAGAAAATAAGTTATATTTATATAAGTCTTTTTTGACCTCATCAGTGACGTTCTACCACACACCTGAGAAGATGGATGAAGGCTTGCTTCACATCACAGTCGTTCACTTCTCGAGATGTAACTATTCGAAGCACGTAGCTGATGCCGACGTTGTTATCGTCGTATAATTTACTTTGCACCTGCTCCAGGTATCCGGCTGGCCGCAGCCATCCTTCACTCTGAGACATATCAGCTGAAATCTGGTTGAAAAGAAAAGATTGTCAAATTAAAGCAAAATATTACAAGAATAAGTGTGAGGACTGAGGATTAATTTGTATCTCGCTTGAATTTCTGACCAGTCTTCCTTTGATGTTGGCAGTGAGAAGCTGCTTTCTTTCGATCATTTCTCTTATCGTTCACAGCGTATGCCCTCCGGATAATCCGTGACAGTTATGGGATTTGGGTCTAGAGCCTTAATAGGGTAAGTAACTACATCTGGCCACCTAAAATCTCCCAGAAAGGCTCACCATGTCACCCGGTTTGTGCTTGAGGAGGCGTTTATGAGCCTCTGCCATTCACCAGTTATCTGCCCATCGTGATCACTACTAGTATCACACTAAAAAACTAAAATTTTAGAGCTCAAATATTTCTTATATGTAAATATAAATATTCTTGTCTTGTTAAATTTTATTCTTAAAATAATATTTATATTGAGTAATATAAATATAAAATATTACTCAATACATTTCACATTTGTAGTTGAGTCGACTACAGTTTTGCCGGCTGAGAGCTTATACACGAGGAGAGTGTTTTCGGTATAGTGAAAACAGTCCGCCAGCGCCAGTGCGACGCCGCGAGTTAGGTGTGTGGATGGTGGAAGCAAGCAAGAGCTCCACAGTTGTGCGTACTACAGCGGGTAAGAGACAAGCAAGAGAAAGAGCGACCCAGATGTGCTCACTACGAAGGCCGACTACTGGGGCAGTGAGCACACTTGACTGGCTGAAAACAACTTTAGGTGCTCTGTGTGCAATTCAACAGCTAGTCGTCTCTGAAGACGTCAATCATCACAAATATTAGTTGCGCCGACCAGTAGAATCAACTAATCGCCCCGTGTATACCTTTACAGAAACTTGACGAAATTTAACTTTTACAGGTAATTAAGATATACTGTATCAAATTACAGAGACAGTAATTCAAACAGTACAGAGACCAATAGTTTATTCGTAACGACAGCGATACTGGGATGAAGTGCCTCACTGTTGCAGTCTGTAAGCCCAGCCCCAAAGCAGGGTATTGGGGAAAAGAGCACGGCAGCAGGGAAATTGAGTCTACCGCTCTATTTGGTTTGGATAGACTGGTCTAAGGAATAAAGCATTGAGGTACTGCGCACATAAGGATCGCCCAAGGTAACTCAGAAAATAAGATGCGATAAAAAAACTCAATACTTACTTCTCTAGTTCTTTGTAGCTGTCCACTGTCTTGCCCCAAGCAATGCATCGAATTGCGGGGATAGATCACATGTGTTTAGGTATATTCTAACTAAATCTTATTACTATCTATGGCCTCTTGACTAATAATCATGACCGAATCCTAAACGGATCGACCAAACAAGTTACAGTAAACAAACTTTGGTGCGAGGTTTTTTAACAAAGGCTCGTTGTTGAATGGACTCACAAAGTTTAACGACTGCACTCAGTCGCGGCAAATACCTAACTGCTCGTGCTTGGCCACTGGCCAGTTGGCCAGGGCTCCCAGCCAACAATTTGAGAAAAACTTAGATGGTTGCTGAAAAACACCCAGATTCTGCAGATTTCGTGGGAAAAAAAACCCAGACAACAAATTTCATCAAAAACATTGTAATTTTACTTACTTCTGATGGAATTATAAGTATTTGCCTGTTGCTAAATTGACGTTC